AGTGTTGAGAGTTAAATATAGTTCTTAGTTTTATGTTTAGTTAATTGGGCTTGTGCTGTGGTGCTGTCCTTCATTTTTGGCTCATGAGGGATTTGTAGTTCTTTAATTCCTTTCTTGTTTTCTTGCGTGGCCTTGCCTTTATAAGGCTTGCTTATAGTCCAGGTTGACAGAGAACAATGGGCGCCAGGTCGCGTGTGTCGGTTTATTTGTACTAAATAGCCCATTGTGGTTTATTCATCAATATGAGTATTATTCAGATTTAGATATTCGTCATTCTAAAATCACAAAATTTGATAAGTTAGTTTACAGGCAAAAATAAGTTGACATTTTTCTTTCAAGACACCTGATATCTTAACTTTTTTGTGGGAATAATGTTACCCAAAACTTAAAAAAAAAAAAAGGGTGTAATATTGCCTTGTCATTGATTTTGGCTTACTGTTTGACAATTAAATCTGATATTTTGACCCAACTTTACATGTGTCATGCACTGAGTCACTGTGTAAAACCACTCTTCCTCTTCCCATCCCCCCTCTCTCTCCTGTACTGTACTCTAAAACTTGGAAAGAATTCAACTAGGCTCTGAACTTATATTAACTAAATGCATTGAAATAAAATGCTGGAAAGAATATAATCCGGATGTGATTGGAGATACATCATACTACATCTTAGGTTGGTAACAGAGGTCTCATAAGTCAGGCATACGGCAGCATAATACATTCAAGAAACATTGAAGAAGAATGCGAAATGGAAAAGAATCGGATTCATTAAGATTTTAAACTGAATCAAACGCCGTCGAGCGATTTAGCAATTTGCCACAAACATGCCTTGATGGAGGGATGAGACGAGTTGCAAAAGTTCCAATGATTTTAAACTGAATCAAGCCGTATTATCTTATCTGAAAATCCGACATACTACAATAGTAAACGATTTTTAATAGATCACCTTGCCAAAGATCAAGTTTATACAGAAATAATATATATATTTACACACTAAGAGAAAAGCAAACGCGGATTGTGTCCAAGAAATTTTTAATGGGAAAAGATCAAGTTTATATATAAATATAAATATATATATATATATATATATATAATAAAGTCTCACATTGACTAGAAATGGAAGGAGTAGTCTCTACCTTAACTATAAATACTCTTATTTATCAAGAGGGGAGGTATTTAATTACTTATTTAAATACTTCAAAAAATCTCTCTGAAATATTTGAAGCACATAAAAGCATTTCGAAGGTTGAGAGCAAAATCGTTCAGAAGTTCTATATATTATAATTATTTCTTTTTTCTCCATGATTTTAGGTCCCATTTGCTTACTAGAAAAGAATGGAATGAATTGAAAAAATAAAGGTGAAAATAAAATGATCAAAGAGGATAGATGATCACATTCATAAAAGGAAGGGGTAATTTAGTTTATAGAGTTAAAAAATATGATTCATGAGTTTTTTTTTGTTTGCCAACCCGAACTTATAATCTGTAGGTTAAGGGTGCAGCACACTAACCAACAAGCTACAAGTTTTTATAGCCACATTTGTAGTAGATATTAATGAGTTTTTATCAAACTTACCATTAGGGGAAATGATGATTTAGTTCATTTTTAATTGTTTCAATCCATTTCATTCTATTCCTTTCCAATAAACAAATAGGATCTTAATTTCTTTGTGATAGTTTTTCATGATTGGATATTTTATAACAGTATTATTTAATTTTATTATATATTTTTAATTTACTCATTGGGGCAGGGATGTAGCCTAATTAAGAGTTAGTTTTCTATGTTCTTTTTTTTAGTTCTTTATATTTATATTTATGAATATATTTTATTTTTAATTATATTGACTTCTCTTGTTTTTCATAATTATTTTATGACTAGCTACTATTTAATCAAATCTATGAACTTAATTTGATGGATTGGGAGATAAAGAGAGAAGCTAAATATAGAGAAATAGACATAAATAAGTGAGCTATGGATAGTTTTAAAAATTTGTGGTGACTTAAACTATAATTTTATGGTTTACTTAGTTGTTTGGATATCATGGGAACAAATTCAAAGCTAATATAATTTGGAAGAATATTAGGATACTTTAAAAATAGTTGTCACTATAATTTATTAGATTTAACTTAAAGGGTAGTAACCTATAGGGTGAATCCTAAATTCTAACACAAAACTTGATCGATCTTGCAAGTGTACAGGATCACATTACTAAATTCCTTAAAGTATTTCAAGTGTCAAACTTACAAGGAAGTTGCGCCTTTACTAATAGGTCAAGAAAAATAGATAAAATGAATTATTTGATGAGAATATAAATAATAAAAATAAAACAAGAAAATAATAATGAGAAAAACATAATCACTAAGATATATAATTAATGGAATTTGAATATCAAGTGAAAAATTCATTTAGAGCTATCCAATGTATTGCATTTGAATTTGAGTGCAACTAATTTCATGACTCATGAGTGTAATTGTGGAGAGGTGTATAATTGTAAAATATATAATAAATAATTACTATTATCAAAGAATAATGTAACGAACTAACTATGATGATTGCTAATAATCATTCATGGATATCTCTTGACAATTGCTATTAAAATCATCAATGACTATAGCTTAGTGGTTGTTTGTGACGATTCTGGGATTATTTTCTAGGGGGGCAAATTTCCTTCTTCTATCTTATGGGCAAGATTTAGCTGCAAATTTTTTACAACCAATTTTTGAAGCACGACTTCAAATATTTAAAAGCAGGTAAGTATTTGTGGGCCCTTAGATCTGTCCCCCGTGATAATTGACTTAACTATTATGAATCGACTAAATAATTTACAAATTATACTCCTTCCTTTCAATATTATTAGGCATTTTTTAAAGTATTATGTTAAAAAATATAAGGTATCTTATTTTTTTAAGATGCAATTAATAATTTTTTACAATAATACTCTTAATTAGGGGTGTAATTAATAAATTTTTTAATTGAAACACCTCATTAAATAATTTGGTGAATATGAAAAGAGTGTATAATTTTAAAGGAAATTAACTAACTCATTTGGGGTGTAATTCAATTAAAAATATTTTATATTATTAAATGTAAATGGTTGGGGATTTGAATCCCATCCATTAGCATGCGTATGTAATAATTAATTGAGAGATGTCTATTTATTGCTCTTAATATTTTGGGGGAGGTATTCTCTGCTCTCAACAAAGCTTACTCCTTGTATGTACTAGAAAAATATTATTGAAGGCAGGGAGTATGATATTTTTTACATATTAATTATTTTTTTTAAATGGGTTTACAATAATATATTAAATGACAAATATTTTTAAAAAGGAAGAGTATATCACGAGGATACAGTCTAATGACAAATTTACTGACAATTTTCCAATAATGAAATATTATATATATTTTTTACCTGGAGAAAATGTTATATTGGCAAGGCACAAGTTTTTTTGGCGTGTGCACCATCATCATTACAAAGTGTTTTTTGATCAAACATATCTCACCTAACATACATGGGGTCCTTTATAAACTTAATTGTTTCCCGTTAGGTTGATAATTCCATGCATAGAGAGGAAATTATTAGGACAAACTTGAACATATATTATTTGTTTGAGGGTCCCCCACATAAGATATATTAAGGTATATTTTAGCATATGTTGACCAAGTCCAATCATTGTCCGTCCAAATTTTGTAAAAATGAAATCTTCATCAAATTCGATGTGTGGTGGTTGGACAAAGCAAGCCGACAGCCTAAAGTGGACATTAAGTTTAGAACCCCACAAAATATATTTGAATTTTTAATTGGAATTGAATTAATCATCAATATATATTGGTGTTTTTTTTTTTTAACCGGACATCATTATATATTGTCACTGACTTCATATAAGAATATTATTGTCAGTTACAAGTTAATTTTATGTCATTATGAGTAATTGAGGTAGGGGAATAAGTTGAGTCCAACAATAATAAATGTGGGTTGATGCCTATCTATGATGCACATATATTAATACTATGATACACATTTGACAAGTCGATACTTTAATTTTTAAAAATATAGGATACAATACATTTTAGATATGTGTATATATATTTATAAAAAAATATTAAAAATATAAATTTAATTTAACAAAAATCCAAATTAACATAGATATATAGTCCTTTATAATAAAGCGAAGCAATATATAATTATTAGTTGTAATTTTATTCTATCTATACCTAATTGCTACTTTTCAATCTCTACTAATAGTTATAATATCAATATCTTTTTTCTTCTTGACCATCATAAGATTCCACTCCCACATTTTTATAACTAAAAAAACATGTAATCTTTATTCTTTTATTACATCCAAAACTTTTTTTTAAGAGAAATCTAATATTTAACTTGAAAAGAAAATCAAAAAATGATATTAGAAATAAAAAATTTAATATCACAATTTTTAATAAAATTTAATTCTTTAAAAATTTTTGGCTTTAAAGTATTTATACACAATTTAGAAATATTAGATACGTATCAAAAATTAAATTTTTAAAATTAAATAATATTATTCTAATACTTTACAGATATGTATTGAAAAAGTATTGGCAAGTATCAATATCAAATATAATACCAATACAGATATGTGAAGCAATTTGAAGTATCAGTGCTTCATGAATGCCTATCTCCACATCATTTAGGCATTCAACACCTTAAAATGGGTCCTATCCTAAACCTCCAAGGCACCTATTATTCAATGTTGAAAGTGAGCCTTTCTACAGTGGTCTAACCATAATTGTGATAGAAAGTGGTAAGTTTTACAGTGGTTATGGTCACAAATACTGTAAAAACTTATAATTTTTTTAATATTACATTAATTTTTATTTATTCCTCCACCTTATAACATAAAATTGAAAACTAGATAGCTATAACAGTTTAAATACATATATAGAAGCTAAAATTCAATCTAGATTCAATAAAAATTTTATAACACTATCAATTGTCTACAAAATTTTTTAAAATTATCCAAATCTCACATACCATCCACAAAAAACTGTTCCACGAGTTGTGAATGTCATCAACCTCTTCGACAAAGAATGAATCCACAATATTTAACATTTGAAATAAGCAATTGCCATTAAAACATTAACTCACTTAAACAACAATAAAACAAACTTTTCATAAATCTATTTACCCCCTTGGTAAATTCAATCATGCTCAATGGAATGATGTTGAGTATGTCCTTCATCACATATAAGTTGTACAAAATAGTCTTCACAGGTTGTCTACATCTCTGTACAAGAACATATAAGCAATCAATAAGAAATCCTAATAATTGAATAAGTTCTTAAATTGCTAGTTCACTTACCTTTGGCTCTAACCATGCGAGATCCTTAAGCTCATGTTTGTGCTTTTTCAAGACTACATTTTGATGTGCTCTCCTTGCATTTTTAATGAACAATATATGTTTTGATAGGCATTTCAAAAATACTGTTAATTTTGGAAACTATTAAAAAAACTATATTATTAATACACATAAAATTTGAAGAAATAGAAAAGAAGGAGAGAGAAGTTAGGGATGACCAACCAAGTCAAAATTTTGAAAAAGTCTCCTTTATAAATTTGATATCCCCAAAATTTTAAACTTAGAAAATTAAATTTTTTATCAGTGACAGCAGTCCAATTTAAGATTGTAACATGTAAAACATGCTAAAACAAGTTCCTAGCTAGCTAACTTTAATCGTGCAATATTTAGCATATATGTTTGTATAAATTGTAGCATAGTCCCTTTTAAAAGTGAGATCTCCTAAAACAATTTCCAATCCAAAATTTCAACAATGATGACAATTCATATCCATCAAAGTTTTAATTAAATCAAACATAAAGTTCAAAAACAACTAAACCACTATCTATGCTCCCAAGTCAAAATTTCAGCACACTCCTCCATAAATTTGATATCCCCAGAATTTTAATCTCACAAAATTAAATTTTCAACCAATCACAACAGTCCAATTAAGCTTCTATAATATGAAAAACATGCTAAAAACTAAACATTATAGCAAAAACTAACAAGGTCATCCATATTATCAGTCTATTTAATAAATAAATTCATAAAAAAATTAAATTTATCTAATCTAAAAAAAATTACCTGGAAAAAGCTCAACAAATCACTTCAAATAACAATCTCCGAGCTTAGTCTGGCAAAATATTCGCTGCCCAAATGAAAAAAAATCGATTATACGAAAAATCCCATTTAAACAAAGTTAGAGAAAAAAAATTAAAGCTTACATCTGTTCAGGAAGCCCACGAATTGACGAGAAGCAGAAAAAGAGGTAGAAAAAGTCGTACACGGAGAAGACGAACTCGAGCAGACGTCGAGATTAATTTTTCGATTATGGGAGGAAGATTCGACAGAGAAGACAATGAGAACACGAGGGATAGGAGTTCTAGAGCTCAAGAAATTAAATCAATGACAAGGGAGAAGAGAGAGCGAGAGCTGCAGCAAGCGCGGGGAAGACGAAGACTGATGAGGTATTTTTAAATGAGATACAACATCGGTTATAATGAAATGTTGTATATATTATGTTCAGAGGGCATAACTAAACCCATTGTAGAAACTAATTAATTTTTTAATTTTTAAAATACAGAAAAGCCTTTCAGCATCGGTTAACAACAACCTAATGTAGAAAGTTTCTTATTTTTACAATTTGAAAAATTTCTGGTCACTTTTTATGATATTGCGTAATTGCTCTATTAAAATTAACTATAATATAATACATTACTATGGTAAATAGGGATTAATCACCCTAGTCACTTTAACATGGTAAAATAGAAATTAACTACAATTAAGAAAAGCTAACCAGAGTAGAAAAATAAAAAGCTTGGGTTAAAGGTTTACTATGGTTAATATAATTAAGCTTATAACTTGAAGATACAAAATAAGTATTAGTAAGTAACAACTTGTCATGAAAGAAAGTATTTAAGTCATTTAATAGCTACTAGCATACTAAAAAAGATTTTACCTGTTCTAAATAATCAAAACAAATGATGAAATCATTGGAATCCTAGTCATTAATAAATTTCACACATAACAAGGCCCATTTAATAAAAAAAATTAAAGTTTAAAAGCATATGGAAGCATTTGATATACTTTGGATTGGAAAATAGGAGTAAAAAGGGTCAAAATGTCTTTCCCCAAATCTTGTGACATTTGTTGCAACTAATCTCAGTTTAACAAAGCAAGACTTCCTCCATGCCATGTGTCATAGCGTACTACACAAAGATGATAGCATTTTTGCTATCAAATGCATAACACTGAGCATAGACTTTTGACGTGCCCCAAGCCTTTGTTCGACATTCAATTAGGTGATTTAAATATTTATAAAAAACTTATTTAATGAACTAGTCAATGGTACTAGTTTTGATTCAAAATTGCAACACATGTAAAAGTTGGATTACACTTGGAACCAAATCACTCCTTTTTCATACTTGAACACTTCCAAAGTGTCCAAAACCCAACCATGTGTTAAAAACCTAGGCAACCAACTAGACCAAGTCTTCAAGACTTAGGACAACCAATACAATACATTACATTACAGATATTTTACTCATAACTCATTTTCACTCCTCAACCATGATTTCAACAAAAAACCATGGGGGAGGCAAAATAGAATAATCTCACAATTTATCCATTTACAACAACCTAAAATAATCATAAACCTACTGTTTAAAATTAAAAGCACATACAACAATCATCAATAGGGCATTAAATACAAACAATCATCACAATAACATGCATTGGCGTAAGTAAACCAAAATAATTATCTTAGTTAGCAATTAATTATTATAAATTACACATATATAACTAAAAGCTAGAGGCATACAATAGGAATGACATATTCCTATGCCCCAGGAGCTTTTTCCTTAGCTTTGCTAGGGCTGAAGCCTAAAATATGTGAAATAGGGGTGCGTATAACTATTCAACAATTAAAAAAAAACTCTAAATCACACACATGCAAATTAAACCAATTAAGGTATGTGAAGTGGGCTGAAAAGAATCATTCATAATTCAGTGCAATATAAAGACACATAATATCATAATATCAACTTACATCACATAATGTTACAAATGCTCAACAACTCCTTATCTCCTTCATATACTATCAACTAAATCTATGGGCTAACAATTTAATAAGACTAAAACTAATAATTTGGGCTGGATTTATTTAGATTGAACTTAAAGTATCATATCCTTTTTAAAAAGCCCATATAGCCAAGCTCGATCCTAACACTTTTGAGCTTCAAGGCTTATTTGGGCTGACCTGAATACCCAAAACTTTTTAAAAATATTTTTTCTTTATTTTTTGAACCAATTTTAATTTTTAAATAATTTTGTTAAGTATAAAATATTATTTTAACTTTAAAAGAATAAAATAAAAAATAATAACTTATCAAATTTGTATATAAGTAGCTTTGTTATTATATTATCGTATTTTAGGTAATTTATTCATGAATATTTTCTTTACTTGTAAATTAAAATCTTAGTTGTTTAAATATTTCTCTTATCATGGTCATATATAAATATTTTATATATTTTAATTAAATTTTATTATATTAATTATGATCAAGTTAATTTCAATTTAATCACGATTAGACCACTAACTTAAAATTATTACCCTAATTAGTATAAAGTTTTTAATAACTTTTGGATAACTATACTTTTTATTTTTTAAGAATATGAGAAAAATAACTATCAATATATTATATAAAATAAAGTTATTTAATTATGAGTAAAATAATTTTTTTTGAATTATTTTTTCTTCAACTTTTTATATTGTTTAACTGCTATATACAAGGGGTGTTTAATTTATTTTATTTTTACTTTTAACCAAATCTAGCATGGATGATAACCAAGTGATTATTCAAGAATATTTTTATATTTATTATGTTTATCTAATAGTAGAGCCACCAATTTGTACATGCCCAAATTTTATTTTTAAAATTATTTTTAATTTAACATTAATTATATTATTTTATAAAAAATATAAAGTATATTTTTTATACACAAATAATATATAGAACTCAAATTTTTTTAAAAAAACTGGGTCTTAAAATGTAAAAACCAATATTAAAATATATTTTAAATATTATTTTGAAACATTTTATAGATTAAAAATAATAAAATATCAAAATATAAATATTTTTAATTTTTTAAAAAATAACTATAGTAATGCACTTAAATATATGGTATTTTAATATAAAATGACATAAAACTTAAAAAATTAATTAATATTTATTATATTTTATACATTTTTAGAAAATTATTTTTTTATTCAAGTATTTGGGTCAAACCAAAACCTGATTAGCTTAGCTTAAATTTTCTTGGGCCTATTCAAGCCAGCCTAAATAGGCCCAAACATTAAAAAAATTATTTTTTCAAGCTTAGTCCTAAATTTTTCAAACGAGTTCAGGCTAGCCTATCAAACTTAGCTCAAATTATCGGCTCTAAATAGAATTGAGTCCATATAAATGAACTAGCCCAAGCTCACTAATTGTAAGAAGTCATCTAGCCAAAGGTATTACATTCACTCATAGACCACAAATTCTCTCAATTCTCAAATTTATTAGGGTGTCACAACCATTCACCTAGTCTAGAGTGAGGTAAAAGACAAGATTTAGGCAACCCATTACACCCATTTCTAAGTGAGATTTAGGAAAACCAAACCTACGAACCAAACATTAGGGGGCACCCACAATGTTGATTATATTCCATAAGGAAATAAATTACTCCTTCTCTTAAGGCAACCTCTTGCCTAATGTGTGATCATGCAATAATGCTCAAAGCATCACCATGCATACTATAAACTCTTAGAATAATCAAGCTATCCCAATCATGCATATATCATCACAAGTTCTTATATCAACTCATTCGACAACATAATAGCATTTCCAAAAATAATTTACTTCAATAGATACAAAAGAAAGCCACACTTGCATTACATTTTCTAAACAATAAACAAGTTTATGTTTGAGTAAAAACCAAATTAATCATGTTCACAAATAACCAAAATCAATCTAACAAGTAATTAGTACAAGATAGAATATTGAGAGCTCAAAGGTTACCCCAAAACAACTTACTTCTTGAGCTTGTAATGAGCTCAAATGATACAATACAAGATTAATCTACAATTAACAATAATAATTATTACTAGTTAATCACCAAATTACCACTTCCAACTTCTAAGCTCACACTTTAACAATCCAACTACAAGCTCAAATGCACAATGTAATGTTCTCACTCCACTAAACAAAATTATCTAAATGAAAAACCTGGTAATCAAAGACTTAGCTCAACCCTTTAATTACCAAGGTTCAATTTTAAAGATAATCCTAAATTTTTAAAATAGAAATGAGTCAAAATCGATCAAAATCTTTCATATCAGAATAAAAATAAGTTTTGAAAGTATAAGATACCTCAGAAGAGTGAAAGAAGTCAAAAACGGTTGAAAATAAATTATGTATTGAAATATAGAGCAATGTGCCACGGCAGACGCACTTTGTGCCGCGGCATGTTTCTCTTTATGCCACGTGCCACAGCTCAGGCGCCACACGTCGCAGCATAGGCGTTATGTGCCGCAGCGTGTTGCATGAAATTCCACTAGTTCTAACTCACCTCGATTCTCCGTTCAATATTCAAATGATGTGATTTAGGTATCTACGGAAAGCTCCTTTCCTGTACTAACTAATGGCACAGGTTTTACTTCCAAAACAGGTCATACTAAGAAGTTGGATACCCAAACATATTTTAACCACTTTTTAATACTTTTACATAAAATGGGTGTCCAAAACCCTCAATAAGTGCTAAAAGCTTTTCCTAACACCTGGACTATGTCCAATAGACCTAGGACTACTAGTATAACATGTCACAAGCATCAAAACATCAGTATAACTAAAATTCACTCCTTAACCCCAATTTACCAAAAACAAAGGGGGAGGTAATTTGCCATTACATTTAACTCAAATCATTCAAACATGCTCAAATCTTCCTTTCTATACTTGTACTAGTATTTTGGCCCTATAAACATATATGTGACAACATACACAAAGGTTAAGGGCTAAAAATATAATTCTAACATTTTCAACAACCAAAATAGTGCAAGTGAGAAAATATGCATCCTAGAATTGGCAAGCCATATACTATTACATAATTAAAGCTAAACTAGAAGCACACAGTAGGAATATTCTAATTTCTCACCTCTTTAGTCTTCTCCCTCTCAACACCAGAGCTAGAGTCTGAAAAGTATTAAATAAGAGGGGTGATTATAGCACTCAGTAACCAAGGTTAAACTTACCCTATGCAGTTATATATTAATTATAAAACAAATACATGCACAAGGAGATCAAATATGTAAAACAAGTCCACATATATCGCAATTTATCATTCTATAACTTTTTTAACTCTCATAACT